CTTATTTGTTGTTATATACGCTCTGATAGTATTATTGCTTGGTGTTTTTGCTTCTTCCTCACTTCACTTTTCATGACCGTTTCTCTCTTTGGGTCACAGAGGCAAATTGTCAGGCACTGCTTCCTGCGTTCCCGATCCTGTGCCAGCGTCTGAGCTTCGGAAGAAGACAACAAAAGTCTAGAACAGACACGTTCCGCATATTTGCACCAGGCTAATCATGGCCGTCCCGTGGGCCTTCTGCCGGTCGGATTTGCAAGAAACAGCTGCTTGGCCTTCCTTTCTGAAGGCATTCGCAAAACATGCCCAAACCATCGCAGCTGTGACTTCTCAGTCTGCAGAAGCAAGGGCTGTCCACCAAGGCTTTTCTCGGATGTCAGCATTCCGGACTATGTCGAGACGCGTATCGCCGGCTACTCGTCTAAGAAAGCCCGTTTCAACAGTTTGTACCCGGAATCGAAGTTTTTCGGTCATAGTTCAGGACTCATGATTGTGGGTAGGCGTAGAGATGAAGATTGACTTGAAAACCGAGATTTTCATCCTTAGACTCAGCCCCGGTTTATTCATAACGGTTCAAACTAGTTCAGCCAGAACGCCATTGGCTACTCTAATCCGCCAGTCGATCTCTTACATTTTCCATCACTAGTAAATACGGTACCGAGGTACTTGAACTTTTCCACCTGCTCCACTGCCTTTCCGTTAATCTGAGGAGAACAACGGGCAGGAGAGCGAGAAGGTACTAAGCTTTTCTTTTCAGATGCATTCACACAAATGTCGGTCACGTCGCAGTCGGCTGCGAACCTTTCCAGGGAGCACCGTAGATTAAAACAAATATCAGTTTCAGAATATGCCAATAAAACAAGGTCGTCTGTAAGCATCTACAAATTCACATCTCCTTCACTGATATACTTATCGCCTTGGCTGCTTCTGACTAGTATATTCATGTACAACCCACTGGAGAGTGACAGAACGCAGTCTTGGCGGAGACCAGTGCCAGCGCTGAAGGGCTTCGATTTAACGCCACTTATTTTGACGCACCACCTCCTATCAACATGTAGTGATTGGAGACGACCTGTAACAACTAGCCATCGATTCCATATGCTCGCTGGCACGCCCACAGATTGTTTTATAGTTCAAGTCATAGGCTTTCAACAAGGTAACAAGGCACATATAAACCGGATAAACGAACTCCTGCGATTTCTCGACATTCTGGCATAAGATATGATCAGATGTGCGTCGGCCTGAGTGAGAGTCGCACTATTTTTCTTGTATCCTGAGCTACAGCTGATCTACGAGTAGAAGGGGAATGTGAAGCCCTTCAGGAGGTAAACGAGTTTAAGTATCTCGACTCCATCATCTGCGAT